GTGCGGGCTGTTTTGGTTAGTGCTTTTTGGTAATTATATTGCATTACTCATTTTGATTTGTCCAATTTAATCTTATTTTTATAACAACGCACAATGCATAGGTTGGCATGTTGTTAGCAGTAGTTCGTAATCTTTAAAACAATTGTTGCTTTCACATGTTTTTGACATTTTAAATGCGTTATCAATTGGTGTGCCTGCTGACAAGTGGCTGATAGGTGGCATTGACATGTTAAGATCGTTTATATCAGACCATTTGGTTTCGATTGCTACCTAATAAATATCCAATTCTAAGAAATACAATTTTTTCCTGTACGTATCCGGAAATGGTATTTGTTATACTTAATATGAGCTGAAATATTTTAAATTAATCTTGGTAAGTTTGACTCAATCATAACTCAATATATTCTAAATAATTATGCTCTTTATTAACCTAAATCTTTATCTACGTGTACACATCTATCACAAAGTATTAGTGACCCRGAAATTGTTAATAAAACGCAAAATATTTAATTATTCATCAATATTTATATTATCGCCATCACGGTCTTATCCACCAGATGTAATACGTTTGTGCCAATGTTTTTCCAATTCTCGAAATACTTTTCATAAGCACTTTTTAGGATGGCCCCAACTTTTTCAGCGAATTTCGTTTTATCTCTTTGAGCGACTGAAAACTTGTTCCGCAAAGTGACGATTTCAGTTTGGTCAACACAAAAAAATCGCACGGAGCCAAGTCTTGTGAATACAGTGGTTAATCGATGGTATTCATTGTGTTTCTGGCTTTAAATTCAGTCAAAATCGTGGCTGGAGGAGATGATGCATTATCATGATATAAAATATTTCAACATTATCGGCCGATTTATGCTTGAAACTTGTCGAAAATTGGGTTCATCGTCTGGCCTCCTGAAAGAAATCGAGTTTCATATATAATGGCATCGGATGTAGTTTTACAGGAATAGAGAATATAATTTTTCATTTCACTTTTGTAGCACTCTTATTGAAAGTCCCTTTACATAGTAGAAARGTAAAAATGCAAAGTATTAAAAGTATTTCTTGGAGATAGAATGTTATTGTTTTCATATTTATTGGTTGCACGAATTTCGTAAGTATTTCTTAAAGTGTTGGAGACAAACTTGTCAGCAGCTCAAAGGTGTTTATGTATTTGGTGGTGAAATGCTTCCTTCTACATCAAACAGCACCTCTATTTCCAGAAGCGACATTTCCATTGACTCAATAGTAACCGATCATTGTTATCTTCAGATGCGACTATAAATTATATCTTATTTGAAATTTCTATTTAAATAAGTATATTTCATATATTTTGAACATTAGACCTTGACCATTTTATATAAATAGCGGTGACGAGTAATGTTTATTTTTATCTAGAAGACGTTTCACGAATTCCGGATTTATGATTATAAGTTTCAGAAAAGTAAAGACCAGATTTCTTAGAAATTATTATCTTTACTAGTGATCGGGATACGAGTATAACTTTCTAGAAATTGAGTATTCAACTGAGGGATTGATAACGGTGATTGTGATAATTATTAAGAGGAAAGAAGCAGTGTAAATAATTATGTGTTTTTATTTAGTATACGGTTTTACAAGATTTTTRACATTTACTGAAAAATCTAAAAGTATTTTGGAAAAGAAAAGCATATTGAATTATAACATTTACTTTTATTTAGAAATACTAATAAAAGCATGTCAACGCCGCGTCACAGAAGAAAAGTTTATTTGAGGTGCCCTCAGTAACTCAGTGCTACATGAACTGGAATAAAAAATTAAAGTCAGAGAGAGTTTTTCTAAATTTCGATTTCTACTTTTTGTAAACTTTTGGAAAGAAAATCGATTTTTTTTTTTTTGCTATTGTAAAATGCAAAATATAAAAAAAACTCTTTAACATACATAATTTTGGAGGAGCATAGACTTCGTTAAGAAAAACGCTTCAAAGGTTTCAACAATAAAAAAATCCTATATAAAAATAAAAGTTCTCTCGACGAACAAATACCAAACTCTACAAGTCCCGCATCATACCCGTACTGCTATATGGTGCGGAGGCATGAACAATGACATCATCTGATGATTCGGCTTTAGGAGTGTTCGAGAGAAGGTTTTGCGGAATATTTATAGTTTTCACATTGGCAACGCTGAGTACCGCAGTCGTTGGCATAGTTCAGCAAATCAAGAGACATCGGTTCCGCTGGCTAAATGATTGATGGAAGAGAATACTCCAGCCTTGAAGGTACTCAATACACTACCCGCCGGTGGAAGCAGGGGAAGTGGATGACCTCCACTTAGTAGAAGAGATCAGGTGGAGAAAGATACACTGCACTTGGTATCTCGAATTGACGCCAAATTGCGAAAATAAGAAGGCGAAGAGATATTAAGATCATCTGTTCACCTCAGCTCTCGCGTTGAACCTGTTTTGATCTCTTAAATTAATTCAAAACGGTTTCGCCTCAGCGGTTTTTGAGTTATAAGAATAGCCAGAAGTCACATGTAGCTAAATCAGGTGATTTCGGTGCTTGGTCAATGATATTTSTTGAGTGTTTGGCCAAAATTTAAGGAACAAACGTTAAAAAATTTTGTAAAATTCGACAAACACTACTGAGGTCGACTGACATGAACAGCTGCTGTAAAYACACTGGTTGACARATCGCGCTAATTTTTGSCATAATAATTAAGGATAGTTGTATTAACCTAGGAAAAAAAATTTTCCTGTCTTCCATATAAGCGGGAGATAAGAGGGGAAAATGAARAATYTCCGATACTTTCTTGACAGGCTGTATAGGTGACTCATCAGCAATGGTCTTCTTTATACACATGGTTTAAAATTAAATACTACAGTCAGAGAGTACCCCCTTCATGCATGTCGAAACTATCGACCATTTACAAGGAAGACCAAATCTAAGTATTCTTCCATTCCTACCTGCTTATCACTGTCTGTTTAATTAAAGAGGTAAAGCCGGGCCATTAAATTCGATTGTTGAACTTGAAATTAGCGTGTCCACACTTTACAGTAATAGCCAATCCACTTATCTAACTCATAAATTCAAGAGTATTGAASCCATATCAGTAATCGTGCGGTTATCTGCGCCAGCTATCGGCATGTCAATAAATATTTTATTCAAAAATGCTAAAGTTAAGAATATCAAGATAAAAACAGCCAGCCAACTAGTCAAAAATATGAAGAATGCTATTATTATATATAGATACCGTTATTTGGTAAGCGTTTCTATAACCAGAAAGATTCCTGATTTCATCTTCACATATTCCACATATTCCACAAATTGATTTAAATAATGGGAGTATATTTATGGAATGGCGACTGTATTTTTGCTCGATCACAATTTGTTAATATTTCCATCGAATTTTTACAAAATGAGTTTATTAATAGTTGAAGTAGCATTTATTTATATTAATTAGTTTTAAATACTCAATCAATCAAATCAATTTTCCATCTAAGATTATGATTATGATAAATTTTAGTATTTTTTGTGAGTTTCAATTATTATGCTCTTAATGTTTGCTCAATGCAAGTCTGCTTTTCAGTTTAGCCAGCAGTTTCCTCATAGCAAACAGGTCTTCTTCTGGCATGAAATCACCATTCGTAGTTGTTCCAACGTCTTCGGTTACCACTGGAGCGCCCGASGTYGACTCTGTTGGTGCAGCCGTTGGTTCAGGAGTATCTGGAGTTGACTCCGTTGGTGCCGCTGTTGATTCTGTCTCTCCGGGTGCCCCTGTTGTCGACTCTGTTGGTGCNGTTGGTGCCGCTGTTGATTCTGTCTCTCCGGGTGCCCCTGTTGTCGACTCTGTTGGTGCGGCTGTTGGTTCAGGAGTATCTGGAGTTGACTGGCTTGGCGCCGCTGTTGATTCTGTCTCTCCGGGTGTCGACTCTGTTGGTGTCGCTGTTGATTCTGTCTCTCCCGGGGTTGTTTCTGAAGGAGATGTTGGAGCGACGGTGGTCGGTACTGCCGATTCACCTCTAAGACAGCTTTGTAATTCCAAATTAGTCTTATAGGTATTCTCCACATATTCACGTTCAGATGCATTCGTACAGCGGTGTTCAGCATTTTCTATTAAGCGATAGCTTTCGCGTACATTTGCTAAAGTTTCGCCAGCATCCGCTGAAATCTCGTACATGCTTTCGGTATTGTCTTTGCCCTAAAAAATTATAATTTTTAATTACACAATATATCAACTTAATTATCGGCGGTCAGGTTCTACTTACAGTACTTGAAAAGCAGCTGAAGTATTCAATAGATCCAACATGTTGTGCGCAAACGTTCAGTGCCTCACACGAAGACTTGGCCGAYGCTTCAATCGCATCTCGTTCAGGTTGTGTAGCAGCGTCGACCTTGCTCCTATCATCTTCGGCAGTGTCCAGGCAAGCAGCAAAGCCTAGCCGGTACTCCTCATTGAGATCGTCAAACACTTTAAGGTAATAATCGAAGCAAGCCAAGCTTTGCTCGGGGTTGGCGCGTTGATTGGATCGCGTGTCCACCATCAATTGCAATAAATTGATCTCTGTGCTCTTAAGCAAGTTGTTCGTTGAAGCACCGAAAGMCAAGCCTGCTAAAAGGCTTAGCAGAATAAACGATAACTTATACATTTTGTGTAAATTTTTGGGATGATCTCTCGCTTATCCTTCTTACTAATTTCAATTTCTTCACTAAGTTTTAACCACTGTAAGCACTTCTAGACTTGCGGTTGAGTACAAGCAATTTGTACGATCAGATTGGCCGCTAATGTATAACTGGGGCCACTACAGGGAATATTCATAATTTTATAGGTAACATGGTTCTCTTGGATTTGCAAAATTATTTTACAACATCCATAAATGCTCAATAAAATGCCGATGTCGTTTCAAAAATTTATTGTTTAGCCGCAGATTTTGCAATTTCATTATCTTAATACATATATTCACATTCAAACATACGAACTTATAACTTTATATAAGTACTAAAGGTTTTCGGGTACACGTACAATCTCGCTATTCACAAATTGTTGTTGCCATTGCTGCCCTATAGTTCGCATATGATCGACTAAAAACTTATGAAGCACTTCCGTCAATAAAGATAACATGCTGGGCTACTTCGCTGGCCTATAACAACAAATGGAAGAGATAACTAAGATCGTAAACTTTACACTTATCACCTAATTAATAATACAAGCTATTCCCCAACGACCAAAATAAAAAATTAGTCATGGAAAAACTCCACATTGAAAACCGACAAAGATGAAGAAGTGGACAGATTATTTATTGATTAAGTTCAAATGGAACAGGAAGAAGCTGTCCGATAATTCGTTGACCCGGTACGCCAGCATACTGGCAAGGTTGCATTGAATTCGATTGTGCTTGAAAAATATTTTATCCAAGATGCATMTGTGGAGCTATAAATTCGTTGTAGATGCAGTTTCCCCGGAAAACGTGGTGGAAATAGTTGTTGGCTCGGTTTTCGAAGATGTTGCAGACCCTGGGCAGGAATCGACCGTGGTTGAAAAGTCAGTTATATCAGCTATTGTATAGAACTGTCAGTGGTACGGTGCTAGGCGTCAGCATTTGGTTTTGATGGAGTTTCTCCAGAAAATAGGGTGGCAATACTCTTAGACTCGGTCTCAAGGCAGGTGGTTGCGTCGGCTTCGGTTGCAGTTGAGATGGAGTTCCTCCGAAAGAAGTGAAGGGAATACTTATTGAATCGATTCCCATGGTTTTCGAAGA